ACACACATATATACACATACACTCACTATCTCTCTCTGCTCTGTCTCTCTCTCTCTCTCTCTCCCATGCACGCGCACGCACGCACACACCGCACACACGAGCTGAATCCCCTTCGGGCTCTTTTTGCATGAATTATAGACTCTTGATGCGGGATTATGAAATGCCTTCTGCACAGGAAGCTGTTCATTCTCTTGCTGGTTTACTGCAGACCGCATCATCTTTGCAGATTCCAAAAAATAAATAAAATATATTTTCATAATAAAGAATTTGCATATCATCTCTGTACGCGTATCTCTTCCATTTGTTTGTCAAATAAGCCTGATTTGACAAACAAATCGGCCGCATTACATTTGTGAAATTGTCTATTTAAAGCAGACAGAGGCCACTATGAGTAATGAACAGATTAAGAGGATTCTGTCTGTACGGGGTCGCCATTCATTCTCCCATATTATTAGACCAACCGGTAAATATTGGTAAATAAAGGATAAGAACTCCATCAGATGCAGCAGTGGAAGAAAATTGCGAGGGCGACTGACAAGGTGCTGGTCTGAAATATTTAGCTTCCTGTAAATATTTCATCCCTGCAGGCTGCCTGTCCCCGCCTAAAATCTACAAGGACTGCAATACTTTTTCTAGGAAGCGCGCATCAATAAAATATAGTTGAGTTTTGGATCCCTTAAACGGAGGGCTGGAAATAACAATTGTAGACTATGCTCTGTAAGCAACACGTCTAGGTTATAGGTACTGTTAAAACATTTATAGGGTGGGAAAAAAAGAAGATCTGGATACATTTTTTTTCTCATATGAATTCGTGTTTTAGTGACTGCGCTAATAAACAGGTGGCTATGACCTACATATATTAATCTTATGGAAAATAGACCCTTTTCCTCACTTATTATTATTATTATTTGAATACCTCACACGCCTGGTGGTAGCCTTCCTTATATTTCCCCTGCATTTAAAGCCCCTGTCATTTTATGAAATTATAAAATCTTAAATAGATTGACGGGAGTGGTATAAGCTCTACTGTATCCCAATGAGCCCGGGCCTATGTCACTGTGTCAGGAGATAGTAGGCCTCCTGACACCAATATCTCCGCACATTCAGCACAGCAACACAGTGGATCTCATTCAAACATTTTTCTTTTGTTTGTTTGTTTGTTTGTTGCATGGATCCCACATGCATCATTGCAGCCCTGCCTCTGGCAGACAACATTTTGATGCTGTTGTAGGTTTGTTAGACATGTTTGTTGTTTTAATAAAGATTCCCTCCTTTATTTTGCTGTATATTGTACCCACATACATTCCCTGCAGTCTGGAGATCAGGTGAACAAGATTCAAAGGTGGTCAGTTAGAGAGGGTGGACAAAATAATTGGAACACCTGACCATGCAATGCAAGGCAGGACACTCAAACTGTGACCAGAGAAATAACCACACATTTAATTTAACACTTCTCTGACAGAGCTGAAACAAAAACAGACCATAATAACCAGCATCGGTCATAACACTAAATTGCATTTAGGTCTATTGTCAGTAAGGACCGACTGATTACTGACCCGGCAATAATACAGCCAATATTCAGCATTTTTCAGATTTTTCCAAATGTTATTTTTTATTTTTTTTAATCATACAAAATAAATTAATTAAAAAATAGCTTTTATGCAGCCGCCCCTCTCTGTATATTCTGTAGTTTTGATCAAAGTCCGGATCTGATTGGTTAAACATCACAAGCCTATCAACACTTGAGGCTGCTGTGCACAGATGGGGAAATTCAAATACTCTTGTAAAGTACAAGTGCCTCAGAACTGTACTTAGAGGTTATAGGTACATTTTTACAGCAAATGTACATTGGTTCCAAATACTGGTGTCTTTGATTACTAATAATCTATAACAAAATCTATAAAAACATATTGCTGGATCACTAACTGTCAGGTTATCCAGTTGTTTTTGTCAGCCCTCTGCAAGTGTTACACAGGAGCATTTTATTTAATATTTTAAAAGCAAAACATTAACTAGAAGTCTTCTGTTGTTCAAGTTCATGTGATATGAGTGAAAGCTCCAGAACAGCTCATAAATTGACTTTTAGTAAGAGAAAGTGTTTTTGTGGTTAAGAATGAATTTTAAGCCTCAAAAATATTAATTAGCTTTCAAATAAAATAAAATAACGTAAAATAAAACAAGTAAGTAAAATAACATTAGATCCCTGTTTGTATGTAAATGTTATTTTAACTATACAGCAGTAACTGTAACACTATATGGGGGATTTTGAAGGCTAAGTAGCACTTTATAGACACGAGCAGCTTGTGCAAACTGATACAAATCTTTCACTGCACTAAACTATTTCAGAAGATTATTGCTGAAGAGCCAGAACTTGGTACACGTTCAGTGTCAACATAAAGAGGACTACAAAGTGAAGAGAGGATTGTACAGCACAGAGGTGTGGTGCACCCTGCTGCAGACCAGAACTCATTTTCTTACCAATTTACAATAAGAGACGAGTACATTTACTTTGCCTTATCATTAGCATGTAGCTGGGTCGTAGCTTGCCCTGGGCACAGGGAGGGAAGGAGTGGGTAATAGTTACATGTGAACAGGCTGGAAATGACCCAGATTCCCCAGGATCACTGGAGCAGACGAGACGCTACAAGAGCTTGTCACCAACAGCCATCCTGCCACTATCCCATACAGACCTACAGCACCTCCCTCGCTCTCCATCTGCACTGCTCCTCTTCATACACATAAGCCAAGAGAAGTAGGTAAACACGCACACAGGCACACCAACGAGTGCTTACATCAAAACATTCCAGGTATTATATCTGAATCTCATATCACTTTAGTGTTAACAAGCTCAGTTACTGTGGATGTCCACTAATCTGTCTGTGTAGACACCAAGCCTGTTTGAAGCACTTAAACAGCATCAGTGATGGCACACAAAACGGTGCCACACAATGCTAATGTATGCTGTTAGATGCCTGGGGCGGGTATGCAAAGATCGAGGATGCAAACATTACTGTGTTCACAGGCTGCCTGCTTGACTTCTGTGTTTTGGTGACTTCTCTCTGCACGACAGACTGTTTTAACTTGTAGTCAGCTGTCCCATCAGCAGGATTAACTTTCCAATTAAGATATCATGTCAGCAACACTACCCATAACCCCTGGATGACCTGGATGTATTTAAAAGGCCAGGCTCATGCAGTGGGAGAAGTCACTTCGCTCATACGTTTCCTCGTGGCTCCACAGTGACAGGAGGGTTATGCCAAAGCTCTCTGAGAGTTGTGTTTTCAGACCCATTTGCCCTCGGGGCAGCGCTAGCTCTCAACGCTGCGTTTAATCTGCGGATTTGTGGTAACAGAGAAGACTTCTTATCCGCTGACCCATTGGCCTCCAGTGTACGTAATCCAGTGCCGTTCAGCCACACAGCCCTGCTGACATGGATAGAGGAGAGCAAATATACTACAGCCGTCCGTGTGGGGGGCGCACACACATGGCGAGCCCTGCCCTGACACACATACTCCTCCCCCCAAGCTTTTGTTTCACAGCGCATATACTACACCACTGTTATTATAATCAGCATTTGATATTTGACCTTATGCCCACTAAGTCAATTCACACAAGCATGGTGAACAGAATATGTAATTCAATAATGCCCATTTCACAACTGAGATTGACAGTGCTGCTATGAAAAGAGTAACTTCACTAATAGAACAGTACATAATGTAGGGAGACCATACAAAAGCCGGAGTGGCATTACACCTTGGTAAAAGAGGTTTTCTGTTGTGTAAATCTCTGCAGTGCTCAGTTACAACAGGCTTTATCAACCATATGTGGCCTGTAGAT